GTCATTTTAGTTCACTTCCTGCGGCGTTCAAGTAGGTTTTTTTTTTTCTTTTCTGCCCCATTCATCACTCAGACGCTACAGTGTGCTCCCCCAGAAACACTGCAAACATGGCGTGTCATTTGAACACATTTTCATGCTTTTTTTCCTGACTAATAAACACAAACAGTGCCTGATTTGTCTCCCCTGTCCTTCTAGCCTCAAGAGGAGTTTTAATTATGTCTCAGAGCGCCAACAGTGCTTTTTGGCTGAAAAAAAAAAAAAAAAAATAGGAAGTTAGACATTTTTCATCATTTCATCCCAGCGCAAACTCATTTTAAAATACAGCTGTCCAAAACCCAGAAAACCAAGAAAGAGGGTGTAACTATGAGTGACGTACAGGGTCATTTTAATCACTTTTGTCCCTGTCAGGTAATCTTCATACTCTCAACAAGGTGTGCCTGAAGTTGTGATGATTTATGGGATGCAAGCCCCGACCACGTCACCTTTTTTAGAAGCGCGCTTTTGGCTGAATTTTAACTTGAAGCAGGGCATTGTGGTTCTACATAATTGTAGTTCTTATTTTAAATCACTTAAGACTTCACTGCAGTCAACACAGAACAATCAAGCCAGGACTAAAAGTTACTTTTAGCGTCTTGATGGAAACCTTGAAGAAGTCTTTTTACTTTTACTAAGAATTCTTATCTTATACAAACGTGCTGCAACGATCAGTTGAAAAAAATCATCTGAAACAATTTTAATTGGGTTTTTTTTAATAATTTTTCAACCAAAAATGCAAAAAAAACCCCCAAAAATGTGTTTCAGCCTCTCAGATAAGAATATTTCCTGCTTCTACCTGTTTCCATTATTGCTAATTGAATATTAGTAAAGCCCAACAGTGCAGCGGGCTGTTGAAAGGCCTAAAATGTTATTTTACGCTCACATTTTGTCTTATTTAACCTGCATGTTATCCAATTGTTACACTCTCCCTTTCTTTCTCCTGTGTCTTTCTTTCTGTGTACACAAACAAGGTGTTGAAATGAATGAATTAATGTATCCTGTAAGAATGGCACCCTGCTGCTAGCGTTTCCTATTTGCTCCCCAGCATTCAGTTCTTTTCAAACATTTGTTTTTCTTCCCTTTTTATAAAAAAAAAAATCCGCCTTCCCTTTCCTCCCCTCCTTGCTTTGTTCCCGCCTCCCCGTCGCCGCCAGAGTGCCAAAGCTGACCCAGAGGAGCTGTTCACCAAGCTGGAGCGCATTGGCAAGGGTTCGTTTGGCGAGGTGTTCAAAGGCATCGACAATCGCACCCAGAAAGTAGTGGCCATCAAGATCATAGACCTGGAGGAAGCGGAGGACGAGATCGAAGACATTCAGCAGGAAATCACAGTGCTGAGCCAGTGCGATAGCCCCTTTGTCACCAAGTACTACGGCTCATACCTGAAGGTTTGTTTCACACATACATGGACAGTGTCTTCCTGTTCCCCCCCCACGAGTCAGACCTCCAAGTGAGCAAACACGATGAGACATAAAAGGATTTCTCTTCCTCTACCCACTTTCTCCCTGAATAATCCGAAATTAAAAAGGGATTAGCCTCAGACGACTTCAGACACCCACCAAGCCCTTATTAGTGTCATCATGACTTGTTTAGGAGTCATTTTAAGAATGCACCTGACTCTCGGCACGTGGCAGTAAGCCAGTAACCACCTTCATGAGCAAACTGTGAAATGCACCATAGTACTTAATGACCCCTTTCTTTCTCTGCTCTTCCAGGACACTAAGTTATGGATCATTATGGAGTATTTAGGTGGAGGCTCAGCATTAGATTTGGTAAGTGATTTCTGCTTCATGTTTTTGTTGCACTGAGCTCCGTACCGTATCCCTGATCACCCAAACAGACTATAAAATCTCAATCCCAGGAAATTGATTTGCGGTAGTAAGCACGTCCTACCACCCCCCCAGAATGAGCTGGGTGATTCAGTTATGATTTTATAAAAACAGGATAATCGAGCTAAAACGATTATTGTTCCGCATTTGTTTCTTTCCCCGTTTCCTTTACAGCGGTGTGCTTTCGCCCTTCCTCAAGCAAACTCACTCTCAGCCAGGCTGTGGCATGCAAGTTCAGAGAGCCTTTGGCTGTATTCACACCAAATCGGGTGTGATGGAGATTGCTGCAGGGTTGTGCGTGCGTAACCGCTGTGAAATGATCAGAAAATGACGTTTATTTCTCTGATTCAGGCTTTCTCTCCACCACTGCTCCCTCTCCTACTTGTACTCTGTGAACTGGTTTTAGGAGAGCACGCAGGGGCGGCCATGATGCCCTGTGAGAGTCCAAAAACCTTGTGCAGAGAAGTTAGAGCAGAGACAAATAATATGATAGGTTGCAGCAGATGTATCCACTCTCTACAGCAATGACTGCCTGACCTCACTGTTTCTTTTTCCGCATGGAGATACAGTGGGTTGGCATATTCAATAGAAAGACAGAAAGGAAGAGAAAGGGAAGTAAAAAAAAAAAAAAAAAAGGGATCTAATTGAACACACTGTTAGCAGACCTGGGCAAATCAGTGGATTGATTCATAAAAATATAGTCAAAATAAACTACAGTGTGTTTGTGTGTGTGTGTTCCTTGTAATGAAGGAACATTTCACCCAGTGCAACAGTGTGCCTCAGCGATGTGTTTCCCATGATTTTTAATCAATTTAATCATTGCTGGTTTGGGTCTTTTCATGGGATTTGTTGTCAATGTGAAAAGTTAGTATCACCAGACTTATGATTTAATGTCATTTTAGGCGAACTGCTGCTTTAATCAGAAGCAAAGTTACTCATTGCTCCTGCTCTAGCCCTGTAGGATTAATAATCATCCACTGTGAGGCTCCGTCGACACCCACAGCTCACGGTTTGTGTTTGTTTCTCTTCTAAAGATGGAGCCTGGCGCTCTGGACGAGACCCAGATCGCCACGATCCTGAGAGAGATCCTCAAGGGCCTGGAGTATCTGCACTCTGAGAAGAAGATCCACAGGGATATTAAAGGTAGCTCACCGACTGAGAGTGCAGCTATTAGAGGACGCAGGTTTCATCTGACTAAATGGCAACTGCGAGCACACACACAAATATCACATAGCACGTTAATGGTATTGACGTCCACTTATAGTTTCATTCATTATATAGTTTGCGTTTCATTGGGGGAATTGAGACGAACGCTGCAGCGGTTCGCTAAAAGGCTTCTGACAGTTGTTCGCTCTTCATTAAATAAATTGGTGATAACAGATAAACAGCACTGACAGACGTGTCTAACATTTTCCGTCTGCCCCCTCCCCCCCTCCCGCAGCCGCCAACGTGCTGCTGTCCGAGCAAGGAGAGGTGAAGCTGGCAGATTTCGGTGTGGCGGGACAGCTCACCGACACTCAGATCAAACGCAACACGTTTGTTGGCACGCCCTTCTGGATGGCCCCCGAGGTCATCAAGCAGTCGGCGTACGACTCGAAGGTAAGGTCACAAACAACGTGTCATATTTACGCTGCATGTTATATTCGGTCACACTCTTCGTGCTATTCCTCTGTCACTTTCAAACACTGCTGACAACCAATGCTGTCAGACTACACCCTGCTCAAGTTGTGAACATCAGTGTTGTCGACACTTCAGTGACAGAAAACAGGAAACCCTATGGTGCTACTACTTTAACACCACATACTAGGGCTCTACAAGTCGACTAGTAATTGTTAGATGAAGCCACCCAACGTTTATGAGTTAAATAAGAACTTTTTCCCTAGTAGACGAGGTTGCAGTGGATTTAGTCACGGAAACCCCTCCCATTACTTAAATGCTTCCAGTATTCAATATCTTGTGAGTATTCAGCTGGCTGATGAGGGGTTTTTTGTCTCAAGCTCTCACAGCATCATTACCACATTTCACAGGTTTTTTTTTTAAATCTGCGGATGAGGTATTCAGCTGTGGGACACCACAACCGCCTCCTCTCCACAAAAAGTCGGAAGCCGAGTAGTTTTCACTTTGCAGACACATTTAAGCGCTTTGGTCGACTCAAAGGCTTGTTGAGGGCTGAGATGCGTCAGTATTTCTTTGATCTCTATACAGTGACAAATCTTTCCATCGCTGCTCTGACAGCCACTATTTCTGACTGCTGCGCACCTGGAAAGCATGTCGTGTTACTATGACAACAGGCGACCAACCTTAGCTGCTTCATAATCAATTATGTTTTTAATACGGTGATTCTGATGTTTTTTTGGTGAGAAATAACGATTGTAAACATTATTTCCGTTTGTTTGCAAGAAAACTCCACAGGGCGCCTTTAAGGCACCACTGATTTTCAGTATGCACAGTATGCACAGTCATCTCCAGCAGCCTACGACTGACTTTTAGTATGAAGTCAGTCTAATTGTTGGCTGCTTTCCTACATTAGTTATTTTGAGCACAGTTTTTGGCTACTGTACCCACCTCTGGTGAAAGGTCAAGGATTTCTACAGAGGTTGTGCTGGGACTAATTTGCTGCACTTACAATAAGTGCATCTCAACAGAATAAGTGCTATTAAAATAAATTAAAATCAAAATAGATGAAGTACCACAGGGTTGAGGAAAGATCGTTCACTGAAGAGATGTATGCAAGCCCCAAAAAGACTAACAAAGCGGTGGATTACTTTAGGAAGGATTATGAGTAGCTGTCATTGTTGCTTATCTTGTATGTTTTTGTATAAATATTATGTATGCCAAGTTATCGCCATGTCTCCCTCTGCATTCCAGGCCGATATCTGGTCTCTGGGCATCACAGCCATCGAGCTGGCGAAAGGCGAGCCGCCCCACTCAGAGCTCCACCCCATGAAGGTTTTATTCCTCATCCCAAAGAACAACCCGCCCACGCTGGAGGGCAACTACAGCAAACCGCTCAAGGAGTTTATCGAGGCCTGTCTCAACAAAGAGCCCAGTTTTGTGAGTAGTTTATCCACATTTCCAGATATATTTTTAGTCCGCTACGATAACTCAGACTTTCTGTGTTTGGTTCTTCCTGACTGCTTCATGTGCTCATCTCCTCATTTCCACAGAGGCCAACTGCCAAAGAGCTGTTGAAGCATAAGCTGATCGTTCGCCATGCGAAAAAGACCTCCTACCTGACTGAGCTGGTGGACAAGTACAAGAGGTGGAAGGCAGAGCAGTCGAGAACCACAGAGTCCAGTTCTGATGAGTCTGACTCGTAAGTCTGATCCCATCCTCGCTATAGTTGTTTGGAAATACGCCAGTGAGTTCTGTTTGTAACTCAAGTCTTCTTTATATTGCCTCTCTTTTTGTTTTTACTGCATGCTACTACGCCAACAGCTCTTTTTACTCTCATTTGTACAAAAATAACTTTGACACAAACACATCCTGCTAAAGGAGAGAATCATCCTCTGTGCTGCTTTCCTCCCACATTCGCTATGATGAGCTTTAAGCACTTAACACGCATGACTTCATTACTCATCCCGATAAATGTTCAAAGCCTCTTTTGATATCTGTCCAATCAGAGAGCAGGACGGCCAAGCGTCGGGCGGGAACGACTTTGGCAGCGATGACTGGATCTTCACTATCCGAGAGAAAGACCCCAAGAAGCTGCAGAACGGGGAGGGACAGTCAGCAGACCAGGTGAGACAGGAGCTTAAAAAACAGATCGTTCTTCTGATCTCCTGTCTGAACTCAAAAGCAAAAGCCATCTTCATCTTCTTCTTCATCCCACTTTTGAGAGATCAAATTTGCAGATAATGTGCACAATTTCACAAGAACTAACCCGTGGTAAGATGGTGGAATTATGCACACCGTACTGATTTAAAAAGATTCCCCCTAAGGTGAAGCTGCACTACTTTAATTTCTTTCCACTCCCCTCGTTCTGATATCTCTCTCTCTCTCTCTCACTCTCTCTTTGCACAGACAAAAGACATTCCAAAGAGGCCTTATTCACAGAGCCTGGGCACAGTCATCTCTCCTGCATTAGCTGAGGTAAGGAGCTCCATCTGGATAACTAACCGGCCACGACTAGGCCAACATAGAAGAGACTGTCGTGCCTGAAATTGACCCTTTTATCAAATTGGTCATCTCATGTAGTCTGTCTCTCATCGATCTAACCAAATGTCGGCCTCCTCACCTTCTCATCACTCCCAGCTGAAGGCGAGACAGGAGCAGGTGAATGGGAACCCCATGGTCCTGGATGAGCTGAGGGAGGCCATCCTGCTGGCTGAGGAGGCCTACCCAGGCATCTCCGATTCCCTGGTGGCTCACATGGTCCACAGGCTCCAGAGGTAACATCGGACTCTGCACAAAACAGAATCCTCAATCACGTAATCCATTTTTGTTTTAAATGTATGCAGTAGATGATACTAATCCTACCATTCTTTTATTTTTGTCGCAGTTTCTCCACAAGCAGGACGTCCTCCTCCTCTCCCTAGTAATTGGCTCTCTGCCCCAGCCCTGCTCTCCCAGGCCCCCACCCCCCCAACACCACAGCCAGGTCAGAGGGTTAAAAGCCAGGGGTCGAGTCATTCAATACCAGCTGACCACGTTTGACCTCCCGTGTCGGGGGGGAGGGCTAATCTAGCCTGTCAAAATTACTGAACTCCAAAGCGGAGGATAACAGAGAGACTCTGGAGAGCTTCTTTTAGCCACTTACAAGAGGAGAAGTTCGGGGGGGCAGCAGAACCCGTGGAATCAGCTGTGATGGGACAAGACTCAAAGTCAGAGCAACCCACAGGAAAAAAACGGCAACAGCCAAGTCGGACTCTGGGCTCTCTGTATATGCGAGACTTCCCTAGCCTCCCACCGCGGAGTCCCTATATGGAATTTGCTCGACGAGGAGCCCGAAAAATCTCCCCCAAATCCAAGACAAGACTTCAATCCCCCTCTTAATGCAGGCGTCATATCCCCAGAACCTCTGAAAGCATGCTTGATGAACCTGCAGGGATGTTCTCTTTAGTGTACAAGCTGCGTGTGTGGTGTGTGTGTGTGCGTGTTTAAATGCACAACCTGTGTGTGGGCACCTGTGAGCGTGTCTGTGTGTTTGTGTGCACGTGTGCTCTCGCGTATGTAAGACTCCCTGTTGAGGCAAATTGCAGCATTCTTAATGAAACCTCAGGTAAAGTGCTTTAAGTGGACTTTGTCCTCCGAGGCAGTGGGAGGAGGAGGGAAAGAGGAGGAGGAGGAGGAGGAGGGGGGGGTGGGGTCGCCATGCTGTACATGATTACGAGTTGTCATTGCGGGAAATGAATCACTGTGTACAAAATGGTCATGCGCATTTTGTAGATATTGATAATGTTTAAAAGTAGATATTTAAAGATTTCAAAAAGTTACTCCAACAGAAAGAACAGAAAATGCCTTGCCTTTTTGAGATACACACGTCTACGTTCTGGCATTTCATCAGAGATTTTAGTTTGTTTCCTTTTACTCGTCGGTGAGTGAAATTCAGTATTCATCAGTGTTTTCTTACTAAGTGACTGAGCTCCAATCTCCATTTCAATCACCTGCTGAATCATCCAACTAACTATGATACTAAGCTTACTTTGTGTAGAGGCAGAAGCTTTCCTTTGTTTTTGTAGTCAGGAGGGAGAACTTCCCACCTGCACTTATGTTTAGACAATTTAAGTCAGTTTTGAAATTGTTTAGAACAAGAATGAAGGTAGATCTGTCGACAGTGGCTCTTTAAATAAGGATAACAAGTATTGAGTGAAGCCGAGGACAATTACAAGGGGAAACCACTACGGGCGGATGAACGCTGATATCATGTGAAGTATTATTATTTTTTCCTTGGCTTGTAATTTCTCCTTAGTGTTAATTAAAAACTGTAAAGTGGAGGTGAAGGGTAACTGGCGAGGACCATCGTAGGCAATCGCATCATGACACTCGCTCACGGCCAAACTAAAGCGCAGATCAGGACAAGCCAAGCTGCAGAGATCAACGCCATCCTTATTTCCTCACTCCAGACATTTCTGTTCTCACTTCCACACCATGCTAGAAGTGCCATGTCCTCTTTTATGCTTTCACCAGATGTTTGTAGTATGATTTGCACCTTTTGTAGTATTTTTTTTTTTTTTTGCACTTTGAAAGTGTCGAGTATTTAAAGAAAACCTGTAAGAGGAAAAAAAAACAGAAAATGAAAAAAGTTGCTAATAGCCATGTTTTACTATATATGTTTACTTAAGAGTTCCAGAATTTACTACTGTGCTAATGCAGCAATAATGTTGAGGAGTTGCATCAAGACGCACTTGTCAACACAGGGATCGAAAGAAATTAAGAAATATCTGATATTTTTATAACTGCAAAGAGTTAAGTATGGAAATATGGAATGCTTTATGGATATGGGCACCTGCCTCTGGCAAAAAATATCTATACCTTACAGAAAAACATATGCTACGGAAATAACTACAAAATGTGTACATTTGGTCTCCTTTATCATAGCTGACAGTTTATAGTACTGTATATAATCTTTGCTTGTGTCATTTGAGAATTCCCAAGTTAAATGTAAGCTCCTTGTAAGCTTTCAAAGTGACATGAGAAATAAAGATCTAATGCTAACTGAGAACTTTGTGTTGGGCATGTCTCATTTTCTGGAGATAGGTGTGTGTGTGTGTGTGTGTAGAGCCAAATTATGTTATTAACTGTGACACACTCTGCTCTGATTGGTCAGCTCCCACAAGCCCTGAACAGGCCCCGACCACCATGTTTCTGCATTAGCCACTGTTTGTTTTTAGCAATGAGCAAGCTAACTTAGCAGCTGGGTGCTGATTAAAGTTACACAATGTTTGCAAGCAAATGAATTCCTGTTATGTGACTGTTTTCTTTTCTCAAACAGTTATATTGTTACCTTTAGGGCATTTCTATCAATTATCACAAAAGCCAACGCTAGCACTGCTGTATGAAGTTACACAAAAAGCAACATGAAAAAGTTACCAGCATCCAACCTGCTACTCTATTTATTTATTTATTTAGCTTCAAACAAGATTTACATTCACACACTTTCTATTTACTGTCCCTCAATATTATAACGTTAGTTCAACTTCACCCTCCAAGTTCAGCAGACTAACCTACAAAATAAACAGTAAAACAACATAAACACGGTAAAACTTACAGCTTCCAAGTGTGAAGTCGGTCACGGACAGCCAGTATCGATCCAAACGCTCACTCTGAGGATTCTTCCGTAACATTTCCACCAAAGATAAAGTTACTTTGCTGGCTCTTGTCTTCCTCAGATGACAGCAGAGCAATTCCCCGTTACCTCTAAGCTCTATATTGGCTCTTTTTGATAATAAATTACTTTTTTCCTCAGACATTTCCATCAAAAATAAAATCAATCCACTGGGTCTTCACTTCCTAGCGAGTAAACAACAATGGCAGACAGTGGCAGTAGATGGGAATAATAGGGACTGGACTGTCACCTAGCCTATCAGGTGTTTCTCTGTCATACAGTAAGAATAGGCGGAATAAAAACAGCAGAGCAGGAGCAGCGTTTCCTAAGCACAAAATATCTGTATAACAAACTTAAGCACAGGGAAAACCCCCTAAAAAGCATAATATGGCCTCTTTAAAAGCACCAATGTCCCTAAATACAGCCTCACAGAGCTCCTTGTATGATTCCTGTTGATGATCTGGATCCAGTTTCTCAAATATTCTGATCTTTTATTATGGTAAATTAGAAAATTTAAATGCTAAATGTGTGTGAAAGCACACAGTGTACACAAGGATGAAGACTGTCCGAAAACTAAATATTTGATGGGAGTACACCATAATCTGATGTTTCTGTAACTGTGTATATAAAAAGGTTTTGTATTCAGAAAAATATTTGACAGAATGCGATTGCACAGACTTAAAGAAACCTGAACCAGCACACGTTTGTTGACACATCTTTATTGAAGACCTTGGTGAGCAGCTATTGTCCCAGGCCAGAATGAACTCTGAGGGTTGAATATGGAATATGATTAAACATTTTCTGACTGAATAAACAGTCTTTTGCTGTTAGATTTTTCCTTTGGAGCAGATGAGGACATCGTATACATATAAAACAGTGACAATATATTACAATACATACAACACTGTGCTTGGAAATAAATACAAATGTTGGAATGGTTTCATTGTATGTGTACTCCAGTACAGTACAAAAGCCTATGAAACTAAAATTACATAAAAATGTTGCTACACAGTGCAAAATAAATCATTGTAAAAACTAATTTACAACAGCCAAAGCAGAAATTACTAACCACTTAAGATCCAGGGATTTTAATTATATGTATAACCTCTAAAAAAGGAATATTCTCTCAATATTTTGAGCCGAAATGGTGACAAGAGTGTTTGAAATATCCCTGCCAAGATTCTCCACTTACACTGTCTACCAAGAGCTTAACCATCTAAGCTCTGCGTGTTCGTCCAACTTCAGCACCATGTCACTCAGGTCATCCATTCATCGTAATCACTTCATGTCAAGCAGTGCACAAGACTGCATTGACAAAATGACCCCCCCAAAAAAGAAAAACAACTTCATGACACAGGCACTCTCAGATATAAAACACAGAACCAAGCAGCATTTGTATACGAGGGAGGGTTTACAAATTGGTCTGTTTGGCTTCCTCTTCGTCAGAGCTGGAGTCAGAACTCCTCCTGTCCTCCTTGTGGTGCTCAACCGAGTCCTTCTTGGCCATCTCCAAACTCTTCCTCTTCTCCTTATCTTCAGGCTCCTTGTGGGCAAACTCGGCTTCTATCTTGGCTGGGTCAATGTAGGAGTAGAAATAGGCCATGACGGCAAAGATGATGCACACTAAGATCAGCAGAGAGGCGAAGAGGATGTACTCGGCCCACTGGTGAACAGAAACACACACAGTTTGACATTTTAGGAAAAACCAAGAGATGGATGTTCTTGCTCATGTCACAGCGGTTTTATAGGGAAAGAAGAAATCATGAAATAGTTTTTTAAAAGTCCTTGTGTTTTTCAATCCACACACCTGATCTGGGAGCGTTGCAGCCTCAGCGACAATGAGCACAATGATGTTACCGACAGCAACAGTTAGCAGCCAACCAGCCTGCAGCACAGACTTCATGTTGCTGGGTGCCTGGAGAGCAAAAAGAGATTCAAATACAACAACACATTATAAAATACATCATAGTCAGGTACTGTTTTAGGTTCTCTGTGTTTTGTGTTTTCAGTTGTTCACAAACAGCTACTGCAGTGTTGTCTGATATGTGAGGGAAGCAGCCTGTACCTGTGAGTAGGAGAACTCCAGTCCGGTGACAGAGAAGACCACCTCTCCTGCAGTGATAAGGAAATATTGAGGAATCTGCCAGGCCATGTGGACGATGTTAGGCTTGATGTCAACCACTGGTTGGATGCTGCTTGCGCACTACAGGAAACAGACAGGTACCAAGATGTGTGACCTCAATCAAAAAAAGTTACATTCAAGCTATATTATGTGATTCAAAATGTATTTGTAAGTTACATTTGGTCCAAATGCGAAAGTTGGCGGGATGATCAAAGTGTACGAGCTGCCGAAGCCCAGTTTTTGAGTGTAGACACACTCTTGTCCGTCATTGCCCCTGATATGGAAGTTTGCACTGACATAACAAGAAAAAAAACAAGTCAGAACAAGGAAACTTCTCTGGTATAACTGGATATGACATATATATGTATATATATAAAAAGGAATATCAGCCTTACTTTCCCTGTGGTACGTTAACATAATCTGACATGTTGTTGGTGATGGTGTTCCCAAACTCCAGGGTACCCACTGTTGCATTCAAAACCGAGCCAAAACCATTAAAAAATCTGGGGAGGGAAAATTCAGCACACAGTAGGTGAGATTACTAGGTAACAGTCATAAGTGGTTAAAAGGTTAGGAAGCACTGATGTTAGGATTATTAGATAATATCATACAGACTCACACTTTACATTAAAAGACAGAGACTTGACTAGTGCCTATAAGATTCATAAGAATTTAAAACTTGCCTGATAGCGTTACTGCCCTGTTCCGGCTTTGACTTGATGTCTATGAACTGGAGATAGAAAGATACATTAGAGCCTTCACATCTCTATGCTTTAAGTTAAATTTAGAAACATACAGAAACAGCAATGAATTATGGTCCATATGTGGCCAGTGATATAGCCACATCTCAGCCAACTATATGACCACAGATGGCTCAATTCTGGCCCCAGACAAGTTTCAGCACTGGTTCCAGATCAGCCTCAACTAAACCTTCGGTCCAACAAATGGACCCTATCCCTAGCAGAAAAAATAATGACAGTTTACTTGATCCCTATCTGGCATGTGTGCTCACCGGTGTAGGTTTGGGGTTGGCTGCATCCTGAATGATGACAACAGTTGCCCGAGTGCCACCTGGTATGTTGCCTATATAAGGGGTTCCAGACCCCAGATTCAGCTCAAATGCTCCTTCAAAGTTAAAGTAATCCTCATTGGCCTGTAGGAGAAAAGATAACTCAATATCAATACGTCCTTCAACCTTTAGCATATACTACTCAGAACAGACCTCTTTAATTTAGTGCTATTGGATAGTTAGTGTACCTTGTAAGACTCCAAGGTAAAGCTGTTGGTTCCAGCTTTAATGTCCAACGTTCTGTTAACCATGTTGATGAACTTCCCTTGGCCTACAGTGCTTGATGGGAACGTAGGCATGGTTTGCTATAAGAGAAGATGAATTGTATGCATGAATTGTGGCTCATACGATAATGCGTATGCAAGTTTGTCTTTATGTGCGTTACACTCACATCAATCTGTATCTGGACCAGGGCGGCAGCGATGAAGGCGAGAGCAGCAAGGAACATCCCCACAGTCATCCTCTTCAGTGGACTGCAGTGACGTAAAAGAGTAACATTTTATTTTATTATCCTACTTAGCATTTATAAGCCAATAAAAGGACATTTTAAAGTGTTTATTAATGTGTTTCTTAACAATTACAATAATAATCTGGTGTATAAACAAATAATAAGTGATTGATAATTTAATTAACACACCTGTAATCATGTAATTTAAAAGATAAATAAATAACTAATCAATAACAAAATAGTTTATATAATAAAGACAATGGCTAAATTTAATAAATACATATTTTAATATAGAGTTTTATATAAATTATGGACAAGAAAACTGACAAACATTCACTAATGAAAGCCATAAGATACAGCTGAAATCTAGTATGTGGACTTCGAGTTAAAGTACTGTTTAAAACATAAAACATAAAAATAAACTCACGAGAAGTTTAATTTGCACTTGGAAATCAGTGGGTAGACCACACTGTCCATGATTGGCACCAAAACCAGGATCAGGATAGGGTTGACAGTCTGGTGGGGAAAAAAGGTGAATCTCTCTTTTAAAGCCCATTCTATAGGTTCAAGCATCAAGAAACACCAAAACAAAGTGAGTGCAGTGCGAGGGTCTTACCTGCATCTGATCGGGCTGGATTATGAGAGCTCCCTGTTGAAGGAAGGAGAGAGACAGACAGAATATCATTTTAAAAACAGTCCTTTTCTGATAAGATGTGACAAAGCAAAAACGCTAAAGATAAAATACTCACAAAGTCGCCGTCCATGGTGGTTGCCTGGAGGGTCCATCTTGAGCCCTGAGGAGGAGACACAGCTCTTCTTTAGTCTGTCTATGTCTTTTTCTTTCTGATATTTGCTATTAGTTACAATTACAAACATTAGGTGTCAAGAAGAAGATCGGTAGTTACCTGCTGGTCAAAGAGAGCCCAGAACATGGGAAGAGGGATGTAGAGGAAGAGCACTTTCAGCACCATCTTCACCTGCGCAATCAGGAGTTTCTGGAGCCAGACACAGAAAAGAATTATTGATTTTTACATCACTGATTGGACTGTTTGTATCTGCATGTACTTGCATGTATATAGGTCACTTACATCGTATTTCTCCTCAGCCCAGTCCATCCAGTGGGTTCTTTTAGGGTGTTCAGGAGCACGATGCCTGAAGCGGTTCTTGATAGCAAACTACAGACAGCAGGAATGAACATTTTTCACGTGAGTTTGGCCTCTAATGGGAAGTTTACAAAGTTCACAGGTCAAACCTTTTGAAGACATCTTTGAGGATCCACTTACCCCGATGCATTTGCAGACTTGCACAATGATGTTGCCTTGAGGGGCAGTCTTATTGTACATCCCACTTCCAACAATGAACACAACTGCAGACACACACACACACACCAGATATACACATTAACATTTGACTATTTATCAAAATAGCAACAGAATATTATCAGAAAATAAAGGTCATTGTTAGAATGTGATGAACTATCTTATATGCACTATAGATTATAATGGTATGTCGTACAAAGGGTTGTAGCAAATGAGTTTATTAATAATTAATAAATAATTAATTAGTTCTTCTAGCAATAAGCAGCCAATTGTTCACAGCCCAGAAGCTGACCATAAAAATGACTTATTTCTTATCAATAAAAGCCTTAATAAATAATTTATTGAAGGGTCAGTGATTTAGCATTGTCCTTTCATTAAGTTGGAGAGAATCACAAGAGACAAAACTTAAGTAATATAGACGGAAATGTCTTGACTTTATCCAAAACACACTGGAGCCTACGATTCCCATAATGCAACTGAGTAGTGTGTTTCATTAGACCCTCTCTGCCTGGCAAATGCCCACATTTCCACCAACCATTACAACTTTATACAATTATTTATTTTATAGGCTCAGTGATACGAGTAAATCAAACTACAACTTACTAACACTTAACAAAAAAACTAAAATGTGCCTAATTGATCTTATTATTGACCTGCTCATTACATTCAACACAGATGTTTAGAAGTTCTTACTCAGAGCTACCACCATGAGAGCAGCGGGGACACCAAAGGCCAGAGGGTAGCACTTCTGCTGGGTGTGAATGCCACATTCCTGAGCTGCAAAGGACAGCAAACAGACACAAATTTTAAAAAATGTAATGTCACATCATGTGATTATTTTATGCTCTTGTGATCAACTTTAGCGTACCTCTTAGGATGGGGGTGATGACAGTGGACAGCAGACTGCCAGCATTGATTGACAGGTAGAAGATGGAGAAGAAGGTACTTCTCTGCTTCTCCTGTTGGACACAGAAAGTTAAACTAGTCAGAGTTCAAAAAGCGCTGATGCACTGTTCTTTTCAAGATTATATGGGATGCATTTTCTCAAACTCTTACATAACATCACCACAGTCATTAATATTATGGGATAATCTTTGTCCCTGGCCTTGAACAGTGTAATAAAGTCACAGAGACAGATGTACCTGTGGTTATTAGTTAATAAATAACTAGATGGAATCAAATAGAGATACAAGAAGTGCTGACACGATGCCGCGATAGCTGAGTGAGTTGTCTTTTTAATTGCCGTCTGTGTGTGTGTGTGTGTTGTGTGTGTGGCAAGAAAAGAGAGATACCACATGCCTGCGTGGTGGTGTATGCATGCACGTGTGTACATATGGGGTAGGCCAGTGTCTATCATAAACACGTGTGTGTGTGTGTGGTGTGTGTGTGTGTTGTGTGTGTGTGTGTGTGTGTGTGTGGTGTGTGTGTGTGCTTGAGCGACATCTAACCTGATGGTCTTCAAACTGGTCTCCACCGCAAAGGCAAGCCACGCAGGGTTTGATGCCTCCCGTTCCCAGGGCAATAAGGGATCAAACCCACCATGGAGCAGAGCTCTGAGGGCAAATCAGCAGCCACAAGCACAGTGTGAACACATACATGTGTCTGTTGGAGCCTATTTGTATGTCGTCACACAGGTCTCAGCGTGTTCAACTCACATGTGGAAGGTCATGTTGTCGGGAATGCGTCTTTGTTTGTATCTGTGATGTCATGGATGGCACTTATTGCCATGACAATCTGCCCCAGCGTAATAAACGATGGAGCAGGTAAACAATGGTCCTGCTGCAGAGGGAGGAAAGGAGGGGAAGGAGAGGAGAGGAGGAGGAGGAGGAGGAGGAGGTAGAGGAAGGAGTAAAGAGTTAAACAGGTGTACATTTGGTTCAGAGAGAGATAAGATAGACAAGGGTCAAAAATCCAAGGATGATATTTACCAGGTGATTGTGTGAGACATACTTTGACCCTAACATCCCTAACACTAGAAGTATATGAAAGCACAACATATATCTACTACAATAATATAGAAAGAAAAAGGAGTTTTGTGCCTTTTTATGTGCATTTTATTTGGTTGCAGGTGAAAGATTTGCAGGATTTGAGACTCACTTGAACTTGCCGAGCCATGAATCAGCCACAATGGCTCCCAGGATGGGTGTCAGGTAGCAGAGAGCCACAAAGGTGTGGTAGATAGTGGTGGCGAAGTCATCATCCCACCTCAGGAAGTACTTGAAGTACAGCACCAGCACGGCTGCAGGCAGGGAGGGAGGACGAGGAAAATGGGAGAAAGTAAAAATGAGGTGGAATAATAGGAGGTGGAAGAAGAATTCAGATCTTTTATGTAAGTAAATCTAGTGTAAAAACACGGAAAAATGTAAAAGTTATATCAGCAAAATGTACTATTGTTAAGAGTAAAAGCATATAAATTGTCTCTGTAGTTGTTATATTATTATATATGACATTTAATTATTGTTACGGTTGCATTAATGTCTAGGCAGCATTTTAATGTTGTAGTTCATTGAAGTAATTTTTGTATATTTAGACTAATTTTCAGATATTGTTGCACAGTTCAATGTGTAACAATCATCAAATTTCATTAGTGGTGGAAATAACAATAATAAACATTTATTTAAGTAATTTACTTCAGTATAATAATGAGCAACTACTGAGGCCCAAAGAGGTCAAATTATATTATAAGACTTGTAATGAAGTATTTTTACATTGTTGTAGGAGGATCTGAATATTCTTCCACCACTGTACTGATGTACTGATCATATATTTTGTGTGAAATAAATCTTAAATCTTAAAGTAACTAACTCACCTCGCATGCCATAGTAGGAGAAACGCTCGCAGAACTCATTGACCACAATGAAAAAGATGCTTATTGGGTAGCCACAGACAGTAGCCTGTTAGAGGGAGAGGAGACACTTTAATCAACCACTTTAATGTGTAGAATTAGATTTTTTTAAAACACTACAGACAGTACAGTAACAGTTGGACTTACGCTTTTTGACTTCTTCTTGTCTTGAAAAGAAATATGAAAAAAAGTTTAATATGCAGCTAAATATGGTTAAATGTAACCGACTGAACAAATACAGTTGGTTTGGTATACATTTTTGTATATTTATTATGAGCTCTTATGCAAAAAGTGCAATGCATGATACAAACAAAGCATATTCCTCTAAAAGTTGCAGGAAAATAGATCCCAAAATCGTTCCTGGGTTCCTGAACGTCTCCCAGTCCACACGCCGACTCACCTGCCATGGCTGCTGTGTGTGTCGACCTCAGGTCCCTTCTCCAACTGAATCCTTCAGCAAAAAGACACAAAGAGACTAGTGACCCCCGTCCGGATCCAAGACACGAAGACCGAGCCGAGGCCTGATCAGCTTCTTATGTAACTTCCCATCAACCCCTCCTTCAACGCCCACTGATGTAGCAGCTTCCAACGTGCAAGTTATTCCTCCCAGCACATTCTCCTCACGTGTGTGTGTGTCACTAATTACTTTATTACTCTGGGAACTTAGGGGGTCTTCCCTTCCAGATAAAGAGGATTGGTCAGGTCAGCTGATAAAGGTACTGATTCTAACACACGTATCATTATTACTGTTGGGATGCAAGACATAAAGTGCACGCAGTAGGTTCCTTTAAGGCCTTTAAACACTGTGCAAGCTCATATCAGCAGATAAAGGATTTACATTGACACGTGTGCACACTTTGAGTGATTGTGTGTGTGTCTCTACCTATGTGTGTGCATGTTCAGGTAAATGTAATTCATATAAACACACATACATATATATACTTACATTAGGCCCCAATACAAACAAAAGTAGCCAGAAATGACTTATCTCCTCACTCAATTTGTACAGAGTGAACCAACATTCATATTTGTATACAATAATGTCACTTTCCAATGTTGTATATTTCATACAATCATTTTTTTTTTTTAATGTTAAAATGTTGCTTGTATTTTACAAAAAGACTATTTTCTTTCTGGCTAAAAAAGCTATTTTCTTTTTAATCAGGTGGGTGATAAAAAGCTGAAATGTATCAATTTTGATGAATTATCAATTGTTAAATGTGACTGGGACGTAATGGTAACACAAGAGAGGCACAAACTGGGGCTATATTCATAACTGTGACTAAAATATGAACACATAAAACATATAAAAAGATCCAGCTTACAGAAAAAATAAATGAAAGCACACTCAAACACACAGCATGAAACACTAGCAGGACTCACGCCGTTGTGGGGCTGTTTGTCCCGTAACAGCAACACAACAAGAAGTGTCTTTGTGTGCGTGGATGTGGATGTAGGGGTAGGGGGGCTCTGCTGGTGATCAGAGGTGGGATTAGCTGGTGTTTTTAAATGACAGAGCGTGGTGGGGGGATTTCACAGGAGTCAGCATCCTGATTTCTCTCCTGTCTCTCTTCAATGGATGTGCGGCACAGAGAGCTCCGACACTGAGCAACATGCTTACTCATAACACGCAAACAATATCATTATTTCTAACTGATAGTGACACCAGGAAACTGCTGTATCTCAGTGTGACACATTATCAGCCGATGCTATCACCACATGTAAATCTAGTCTTCAAACTGCATATTGTAAAACTTTACTACATGAAAAGAAAAAACAGTTATAAGACAAATATAACTGAATACAGTGATACTTAATACAGTTAGTTAGTTATTTAGTTAGTTAGTCAAATAATTAAAGTGGAGTGCAGTTGGCTAGCTAATTTCCAACACGGCGGACTTCATGGAAAGCAACCAACTATAATCTACTGGTCATACTAGGCCGAGTGAGGCTGTACAGTAGCAGCAGCATACTGAAATAAGTAAGGGTGGGTTAAGTTTTATTGCTAAGTAATGGGTTAGAAATAAAAAAAATCTTAATAAATGTCTTTTAAAAGTTAGAATTTAAACAAAAATATAAAACTTTATATATTTTTACACTATATTTTCATTATTTAACCAATAGTCACCTTATTATTCATCAATATGCTCCATTATATTTTTTACTCGAGCCTTTTTCTACATTTTGTCAGCTTTGTGCCTCCATACTGATGAACATGTTGTTCTCCAGTCTAGTATCATCATTGTACAAATACAACATTCAGTATAAGTGACAGCATCAGACAGATATCCACCAATTTTAGGAATCCTTTTTTTCCAACTTACCCACAGTTACACACAGTCCAGCCACACATCACGACTCACTGTTCTCCTGTATTTGACAGAAGTATTCCCCCCTCTGTGCTGCAGAGAGTTTACACTGTCCAGCCAGCCTCACAAAAGCTTTACTGACAGTCGGGAGTCTGTGGGTTTTCGCTTCACAGATAACAGTCGGCTTTGAATAGTATCTGAAACAAGACAGGGTGCTCAGAGGGTGAGAGAGTGTGTTTAAGGATCCATCTGCACAGGAAATAAAATGCTTTCCCATTTCTTCACTTTCCTCACATTAAAGTGGACTTACTAAAAGTTAGTGAGGTGATATTTTTATCCACCGTCTTTAATGCTAACGCTTGACGACCTGCCTAAGTAAAGCTTTACAGAGCGGCTAGCATGGCTGTGGACTCTCCAAGGATTCACAATTTTCTGTAAAATAAAAGAAAGTGGACAAATGTAACAGCTGCAAATAATAGTAACAACATTACTCGAATGATAATAGTTGAACAGATGGTAGAAATACTCCAAAAGAAAGGCATGGAAGAAGGTATTATTACAGATTTTATTTATTTATATGTCTTTAACTTATTTACATGAGCAGTCATTGAGTAAAAATGGTTTTCTTAATTTTTACCTCACAGATAATAAAAGGCAGCTACATGACAGACAAAGAAACAAAGGGGGTAGATTACAAACAGTCGCACCCTTGCATTGCATTGCACAGTCGTTTTCTAATGTCTTTGGCAAGAGTGGTTTTCTGTGCAGTAGGTTGCCTTGGTAACGATAGAAAATATTGCACACACTTTCCTTTACAGAAAATAGGTTAAAACATTGTGGTTCACTTGGCTTTAGACAGTTTCTATACAAGTCTATTGGCCTAAAATAGAGTGAATGATTCTTTCAAACGGCCAAGGTAAGATAAAAGATAAACTCTGATGCCGCCGCTGTAACAGGGCCTCAATGGAAACCAATAGAAAAGGGAAGATGTAAAAAATACTGCGCGTCAGCTGAACGATGTATGTATGGTTACAGCAGTGGCATTTTTTTTTCATTAAAAACTTTCTTGAAGCGCTCTCTTACAAACACTGTACATAAATGGGAGTCCTACAGTTAAAAAAAAAAAACAGACAAGGTGTAGACTTGGGTCAAATACTGAGGTCCATCCCTTGGGTGGAGCGAAACAATTAAGATAACATCATGTTGTCAGTTAGTATTGGATACACACTTAGCCCCATCTTACATGAAATAAAATAAACTATACAAAAAGAATAAATGACCCAAATCTGGCAATAAGTCGATAGAATCGCTGTTCTCAGAGTTTCAAAGTCAACAGTTTTGACTGGAGTCTCCATAGGAAACAATGGACCTACCGATAACAGGGAGTGAACATCATATTTTTCCAGCTCATGACAATAATAGAACATAGCAAAAAATATTGGATGATGGCTTCAGGTTGTGTTTAGTACTTAAAATGAGTCCTAGTTGTTTCCTCCTGAGGGGGGGTTTAATCAGTCGTTAGTGGTGAAGAAGTCATGAGTCTGATGTGAAACATCCATATCAGAGTATGGTGGTGGAGCCATGTGGGTTGGCACTGGTTGGTGTGCCACTGATGGCGTTGAAGATGCCCATGGAGTCGGACAGAGTGCTCCTTGTGCCGTCCTCCACTGGGTTTATCTAGAAAAAAATGTCAATTAGGAAGACTAGGGAAGGTATTCACTTTATCCTGTTTAAGAGTGAAACATAATTCAAGTTCAGGGACTGTAGGAAAATTATTACATATATTACATATATACTTTTCGTCTATAGAGCACAGTAACTTCATCAAATGAGAAAAGCAGCATTACCATCCAATCTGCTCACGCCAGCAAAGAGAGAGCAGGAGATAGGAGACATGGTTAGTGAATGAGCAGAACTGTATATGCCATTAAAGTAACTTTAAATGGGGAAGAATGTGCAGCTTTAAACCTTTTGATTTGTCACTTGGCTGCTATTTACACGGAGGGGTGTTAAAACAAAGCTACATGATTCCTTTGAGGACCTGGAAACAGTTTTGCCGTTCCTACCTGTTCGTGCATGATATTTGACAGCTCCCTGGCCAAGTCCCTATAGTTGGCCTTCATCTCATCGTGATACTCCTGCTGGTCCTCTTTAATTAGCCGCTCATTCACTCCCAGCGCCTGACCGCAGGCGTCCACAAACTGCCTGAGGAGAGAGACACCAACACCATTTTAGTGCCACTTCAAAACTCAAATGGAGCAACATTCAGAGAATAGAAAGTGAAAAAGTAACGTGGTAGGCCGTATTTCATGAATACTACACTGACAAGCAGTGTAGTCATTCTCATAGAGTTATAATGAGCAGCTGGTTGCTGACTTGGTTGTTATGGATCGAGAGAAAACAACCTCATCATAAACATGAGCAAATAAAGAAACAGAAATAATTCTTGACTCCAGGAAGCATCACAGACCAGAAAGTCTCATAAGCCACCAGAAGTCTGCAATGATCAAGAATATCTAGGCTTGAGAAAGGTCCCTGCATTGGTATTTGCATCTTATTTCCATCTGGATCATTTTTCTATTCATACAACTACAATACAGAAGTCCAATTTTGAATATTCTCCACTGTACATACTATTGTTTTATTGTGCATGATAATAATGTTGTCACGTGCAATACAGTTAAGATCATGCCATTTATCTCTAGTACACCTGCACACATTAAATGCATTGTATGTATTGTTTATAACTGTATTTATATTCTTGCTCTTGTTGAATTGAAATGTGTTTGTCACTTGAACTTGAAAACAGCGAGCAGCAGAGAGGGAAGTTGAATTTCCCCCCTGGGGATCAATAAAGTATTTCTGATTCTAAATCATCATACATATGCAAATGTTTCTGATAAGTACCTGAACACCTCTTTGAGCTGTTTGACCTTGTTGTCAGGATATTTCTTGGCACTGCTGTCGTCGAGGAAGGCCCTGGCGTAGGCGAGAGGACCAGCATTGACCTGGAAAAGAGAGGTCAAGAGGTCAGAGATCATAAATTACACTGAAGGAATTCTAAATGACTTACAAGCTGTTAAATAACAGCACGACCTCGTCATTTGTACCTGAACACTGATGCTGCCTTGCAGTTTGAGCTGCAGGCGGATCATGTCTACCTCAGAGGCCGAGCACAGGAGTCGCAGCTCGCCCAC